AACCCAGCAGAGGAACCGCTGCAGCACCTTCAGAGTACGTCGCAGCCAGACCATCTACTGGAAGGAGGGGCTGCTGGTCACTTTTGATGGAGGTTACCTCAGGTCAGAGCTTGGGCAGGAAGGATATGGATGCTAAGTAAATGCGACAACAAACGCTTTTCATAGCCAGCTAAAAGTCTTTCAATTCTTGTACTTGGGATCTTCTCCCATTCTTCCTTGCAAAAGGCTTCTAGTTCTGTAATATTCTTTGGTCGTCTTGCATGCACAGCTCTTTTAAGATCTACCCACAAATTTTCAATGATGTTTAAATCAGGGGACTGTGATGGCCATTCCAAAACCTTCAGCCTGCGTCTCTTGAGGTATTCCATAGTGGATTTCGAGGTATGTTTAGGATCATTGTCCTGTTGTAGAAGCCATCCTCTTTTCAGCTTCAGCTTTTTTACAGATGGTGTGATGTTTGCTTCCAGAATTTGCTGGTATTTAGTGGAATCCATTCTTCCCTCCACCCGTGCAATGTTTCCTGTGCCACTGGCTGCAACACAACCCCAGAGCATGATAGATCCACCCCCATGCTTAATAGTTGGCAAGGTGTTCTTTTCATGAAATGCTGCTCCTTTTTTTCTCCAAACATGCCTTTGCTGATTGTGTCCAAAGAGTTCTATTTTAACTTCATCAGTCCACAGCACTTGTTTCCAAAACGCATCGGGCTTCTGTAGATGTCCTGTTGCATACTTCAGACGTTGGATTTTATGATGGGGACGCAGATAAGGTTTTCTTCTGCTGACTCTTCCATGAAGGCCTTGTCTGTGCAAGCATCGCTGCACAGTGGAACGGTGCACCACCACTCCTGAGTCTGCTAAATCTTCCTGCAGGTTTTTTGCAGTCAAATGGGGGTTTTGATTTGTCTTTCTGACCAGCATACGAGCAGTTCTGTCCGAGAGTTTTCTTGGTCTTCCAGATCTCATCTTGACCTCCACAGTTCCCCTGATCTGCCATCTCTTAATTACATTTCTTACTGTGGAAACTGCAAGCTGACAACGCTTTGCTATCTTCTTGTAGCCTTCTCCTGCATTGTGGGCATCAATAACTTTCATTTTCAGGGTCTTACACAGCTGCTTAGAGGAACCCATGGTTGCTGGGTGTCCACAAGTGTGTGCACAAGGTTTGAAGAGTCAAAGTATTTGTACAGCTTTGAAATTGGCATTTACCAATGACAGCTGTTGCTGTGCATCAGATCTAACGAGCTGATTAAGGTCTGATACCTTGTGAGAGACTTTGAGACTCTGGAACTCTTAGGGTGCCCAAACTTTTGCACCATGCCATAATCATGTTTTTATTTTTTATTTTTGTTCAATTTATGGCATAAGAAGTAACTATGCATCACTGTTTGCAGAAAATATTGTGCATTTTTTCCATTTCCAAGAGAAACTGTGTTAACATCTGTTCAAATAAAAAATCACCAAAATCTGTTATTTATCAAGGGGTGCCTAAACTTTTGCATAAGACTGTAAGTGAAAAACATAAGTGAGAAATTTAAGGCTGTAGAATTCAGTTAGATTCAATATACAATTTATCCCATATTTTTGCACACATTTAAATTTAAATTTAGTATTCACAGTGATGAAGATACATTATGTTAAGTAAAACCAAACTAGTTTCGAATAGCTGAGAGGTCAGAGAGATAAAGACAGGCTCATGTGGACCAGCTTACCCACTGTGGTTCTGTGGCCTCATCTCCTTCACCTGTCTCTCCCTTCACTAACTACATTCTGACCCGCTCTGTCCACTCGCTTACAGTTTGTGCTTTGTAGCTGTATCATCATTAAACACTAAGCAGCAGCATTGGGCTGTTGCTGACTCACTTTACACAAATGAACAGTATAAAAAGTATAAAAGGTGTGGCTGGAAAGTTCAGAAAAATCCAAATGCTGCAAACAGTTCACTGCATCTAGCAGCAGTAAACTGTGCAGACAACATAGGAGGAGCAGAGCAGCAGAGTGAATTTAGAACCACAACTCCCAGCCAGTCCAGTACAAACACTAGTCATGTTTTACAGTTGAAGATGTGTAGGCAGAGGGAAGCTGGACTGAGTTTATTTAGTGGGGTCATTCTTGTATATCTTATTTTTCTGCTCTGGTTTCTCAGAAATTCTAGTACATTCACTGAAGTAGCCAAAGTCTGTGATCAGCTCAGATCTGCAGGGTTTTTGGATGATGAAAGAAAAGAAATATGTCTGGTGCTGTATTTACAGCTATACTGTGCAGTTAAAATGTTAATCTCACAAGCTCTGTATCCTACCAACTAAAGTGAAAAATAGAAATACAATTTAATACATTGTGAGTTTAACAGCAGTAAATAGTAGATACTGTTCTCATTATTGGTCAGTTTTACTTGACAGTTTGTTATTTTGACACTGTACTGTAGCTACTTTGTTGTTATTGTTATGGACTGTCATACTAAAAGGTGTTTGTATGAAAAATAACCCCATCAATTAAAAATTGTGAGCTCCTTTGTCGGGTAACTCAAACAAATAGAGATTATATGACCAGTTTTACACACAGACATATTTAAATATCAGAAAGGTTGGACTACTTGCCGCCCCTTTCTGGTGGATCACTAATAGTTCTGTGGCCATGGGCTGCCGTCCTCTGTTCTGACAAGGAAATGACCAACCTCATCACATCTTCAGTGATGGGCTCTGGGTTATTATCATAGGTGTGCTAAGCTATAGCATGTTTAAAACAAGGAAATGTACCTACATGTGATTCCTGCACTGTTTACATGTCTGCATATACTGAATAGGGCAAAACCTTGAACTTATATACAGTATAGGCAGTAGGGATACTCCAATACCGCTTTTTTTCAGACCAAGTACAAGTACTTACATTTGAGTGCTTGCTGATAACAACGTACGACACAAGTACTTAATAATAATAGTGTTTCTACTACAAAAATTACGATAAGGTCTACCACAAAAAAAAAACAACTTGTGATCATTTTTATTTTCGTGATTGTGTTTAAATAAATTATAACAGGAGGCTGTTCAAATGTGAAAAGTTTGTGATAAACACAGTACTGCCAGCATTCGCAGGGCTCAACATTAATGCTCGCCTGGGGCAATTAAACTATGTCCGGGCAAGTGGAATGCATCATGTAGTTGCCTGATTGGGCAAGTGAAAAATACAATTGATAGTCTGTATCTATTTTTGGTGTTGAAAGCAACATGGTTCTCAGTCTGTAAGGATGGGGACCATTTTATCAGGACTCAAAAAGACCAGTGAGATTAGTGGACTGGAAAATATGGTTTTCTGTTTATGGAGCTTCTCCTCTGTCCATGTCGGACCAAGAACTGAGCTCCTGGACGTACGGAGCAGAGAACAGCTGAGATGCTGAGAGGGGATTGCAGGTGAAGCATATTACTTGAGGTAACAACCTTTCTGTAGTGTAGGTGCAGTAAAACCTCTGAGTCAGAGCAATTTATCACACCTGCTAAACAAGCATAATGTTAGATTAATTTCAAATAAAAATAAATTTTAATTAAAATCATCTTTTAAATAAAAGTTTTTATACAATTTTAATTAATTTTAAATGTGTGTGTCTTTGCAGTGTGGAGTCGTCGAACGTCAACTGGAAGAAGAAAAAGAGTGGAGGCATAAAGATCATCTGCCAGTCAGAGATGAGAGATTTTTCTGCCATGGCCTTCATCACAGACCACGTCAACTCTCTGATCGAGCAGTGGTTCCCCGGTCAGTGCACTACTCTGTTTACATTGTACTAGGCGTGTGTACAGTAAAGGAGCTGTTGGGAGCTGAAAGTCAAATTGAAGATCATCAGAAGTTGAAAACCCCTTTCAGTATCAAAGTATTAGCTGTAAGCTACATTTTACTAGTTGTCCTGGCTCTTTTCAGTTAAACTAGTAAAGCAGACTGGATGGTTCATAATATTTCTCACAAGAGTGAAATAAAGGTAATGTGAGGCAGAAAACCTCTCACATTTTATTCATAATTGAGTAAAACACAGTTGTTTTCGATATGACAGATGTCAATTTGTAGAAACAATCCAAATCTGTCACAGGCAAATGTTACATATAAGAACCTAAGTACAGCCTACATAATGGTATAATTTTTATTATCTCTGCTAAATCTATAAATAGTAATCCTGTGCACAGCTGTGTATTCATCAAGATTATGATAGTTATTTATTTTGAAATTAGTTTTATTTTGATATTATTTTTGATTCAGTCTGAATCTGTTTAGTTTCAGAAGAAGCAGCAGCTTTATTTATTGTATTTGTAACATTGTGGCACATACAACGAAATTATGTTTGGAGCCGAGGACCACTGCATGCATACGCACCGCCATCTTGGCAACGAGGTGGGGGGTAAGTGTCTTGCCCAAGGACACTTTGACACGTGGACAGCAGGCACCGAGATTCGAACCTTCAACCTTCCGGTTGGGAGACGACTGCTCTACCCACCCCACCACTGTCACCTCCTCTTTAGTTCTACCAGTAGTTTCATTGTGTGGATGCTGTGAAGCATCCACACTATGCTATCCTGTTCTTTATTATTGTGTGGATGCTGTAGCATACACACTATGTTTTCCTCTTATTTTTTATTATTGTGTGGATGTGTCAAGCATCCACACTATGTTATCCTGTTCTTTATTATTGTATGGATGCTGACAAGCATCCATACAATAATAAATAATAATAAACAACAATAAGTAATAATAAACTCCTGCACCTTCTTGAACTCTGCCCCCTCTAACCTCACTGTTCCACTTCCCTCCCTTTTGTTCATACACATGTATTCTGTGTATTAAGTACTACGACTGACATTGTACTCCTCTCATACATATCCTGAACTACTCTGATGTACTTCACTGCCACTCCTCACATGCTCATACAGTACCATAGCTCCTCTCTCAGCACCCTGTCGTACGCTTTCCTTAAAGACACAATGCAGCTCCATGTGACCATCTCTATACTTCTCCATTAACATTCTCAGGACCAAAATTGCATCTTGTGAATGACTGGCGGCTGTGAGTGACCATTTTCAAGTCTCAGGACACCTTTGCAGGTGTTTTGAGTTAACTAGCTGAATGGCATGTCACCATATTCTAATTTATTGAGATAGTGATTTGATGGGTTTTTGTTAAAAGTGGCCCAAAATCATCACAATTAAAAGACCCAACAGCTTAAACTACTTCAGTCTGTGTATACTGAATTTATATAATACACGAGTTTCACTATTTGAGTTGAATTACTGAAATAAATGGACTTTTCCATGACATCCTAATTTTTTGAGATGCACCTGTAATGATGCTCGCTGAAATTCTGTTGCCAATCCAGACAGACTGAGTCTTACCAGTCATATGGTTCAGGATCCAGTTACAGAGGGTGGGTGGTGCTTGGCTTCCTGTTTATTTCAGTTTACATGCCCCAGCTTTACACCATATCATTCCACTCATCTGTTGCTTATTATGTCCCGGTCCTGCCAGGCATATATACACCCTGTTTTCCGTTCATTCCCCGCTGGTTCATTACATTACTCACTACACCTGACACCTGGATTATTCATCCCAAGGTTACTGCCTGCAATTCAGCGTTCCAGGCCTCCTACTTCTCATGCCAGTTTGCTTTATGCATCTCTCCTACCACTAATCCGTCATGCTTATCAGCCTGGAAGGCACGCCGTTTGTTTAACGGACTGAGTAATTTCCTGGCCCGATGTCTTTCTGTTTATCTGACTGCTAACACCTCACTGTATACTGTGCACCTGACGCTACGTTTTATTCTTTAATCTGCTATCTTTAGTTCCCATGTCCTTTCCCTTGCATGGACACATTTAAAGTGTTGACGTTCTTGATCACATCAGCAAAACACGCCATAAGCACGAGCCAGAGTTTTTCACTGAGCATCTCAGTATACAGGGACTTATTGTGTGAGAGGAAGGCAGTGGTTTTGTGTTTAAGCTCATAAAACCATGACATTACTTTTCCCCTTGAAAGCCAAGCAAACTTCTGAATGACACAGCAACTGGACATGATCTAATCCCAGGTCTTTGCACAGCTGTATGAAACAACAGCTGTTCTTGGCACGCCGTTTAATGTAGTTCACTATTGCTATGGCATCTTTGTGTTAATGT